TTGAGGGTTTAGGGGGGTTCAGGGTTTAGGGTTTAGGGGGGTTTAGGGTTTAGGGTTTAGGGTTGAGGGTTAGGGCTTACGGGGTTGAGGGTTTAGGGTTGAGGGTTTAGGTTGTGGGGTTAGGGTGTAAGGTGTTCTTGAGAGCCGTATAAGGGTTCTCGAAAAGTTTTAAAGGGTCCTGTAAGGGTTCAGTTCTAAAGGATGCAAGGCTCTTTCTAAAAGGTTCTACAAAAAGTTGTACAAGGGTTGTGTAAGGATTCTACAAGGGCACATTACCAGGGCTTTTAAGGGTGTCACTAGGCGGCTTGAGGCTTTACACTTAGGGGCCTACGGCGGAAGCCTCAACAGGAGGGGGTTTGGGTTTACGGCTTCAAGGTTCAGGATATAAGGGCTTTGAGTTAAGATTTTACGTTTCGCCGTTTCTGGTGCTTTAGGCTTTGGGCAGCGAAATAAAAACGATAATGCCGTTGAAACGAACTGTAGACACCCTTGCAAAACCCCTCCACGCCTGAAGCCGTGAAATCCCAAACCCTCATTTATTCAATCCTAGACCCCTAAGCCCTAAACCCGAAACCCTCAACCTAAAAACCATAAACCCTCAATCCCTTAACCCAAAACCCCCAAGAACGCGCCTGGCGAACGCCTCGACGGGATCGAAGTCCTTCAGCTCGGGATCCTCTCCATCGGCTCCTGGAATCTCCTCAGCGTTCTACATGTGTATATGTCTTTTGCAGCACAGGTTTAGGGTTTGGGGTTTGGGGTTTAGGGTTTAGGGTTGGGGTTTAGGGTTTAGGGTTTTGTAGATGTGTATGTATGCATGCTTGTGTATATGCGTGTGTATATGTAGATGTAGGTGTATATAGCTGCATATAGATGTATGTATATGTACGTATATGTATGTACATGCACATGTAAAGGTATGTGTAAACGCATATGTATATGTATACGTTTAAGCACATGTACACGTATGTGACAGGTATGTGTATATGGAAGGTATATGTATATGCACATGTATATGTGCAGGTATATGTGTATGTATGCATGTGAAACGAGAGAGGAGAGAGGAGAGGCAAAGAAACAGAGGGAGAGAGAGAGAGGAGAGAATGAAAAAGGGTGAAAGAGACGGGCTGTACTTAGCTATTCTAGCCACCTTCAGCTATCGTCGTGTTGTTACCCGCACATGTGTTCGTTTAGTCGTTTAGAGTTCTTGGGTCCCCGGATGAATGGGCTGGGGCGCTTCTTGTAGGCGGTGTCGTTCGTTCTCTAGTGTGCAAAAGAAATAAAGCTAGTAGTAAAAAAGTCGTAATAGCGTTTAGATAATAACCCCCATCAGAGTAGTATTATGTAGTGCTTCTGAGCTTTGAGATCTGAAAGGTGCAAGTCTCGAGGGAGAAGATGTGGCTGAAGAGGTGCGCGATGACGAAGGTAAAGGGTGGGTCCGGCACGTCCGGAGAACCTTCCGGCAGCTCTACCAACTCCTCCTCCTGCGGGAGGGCCGTAGCCGGTATGGTATTCTTCTTCGGAGCCATTTCTGCAAGCCACGCAGCGTCAGACACCCACTTTTTGAATGCCTGACGTGAGACAGGCCGTCTTAGCCCGTCTCGGAAGGCATCCGCGAAGCTCTAACTACAGCTACAAAGAGCTACTACAAAGAGCTAATGTAGGGGCCTTAATAATTAGAGTAGGGTTTTGGGCTCCTTTACGGTGTATTCAGAGTAAGCAACCCTAACAGTAATGTTGGTAATCACTTAGGCTTCTATAGTACATGCTGCAAGCACCCTCCTGAGCCGCGCCCGGCTGTGGCTTTGTGCAGCAGTAAGGCAGGCAACGGATACATACGACAGTCTCCACTGAGACTGCAATCCTTTAGGGTTTAGGGTTTAGGGTTTAGGGTTTAGGGCTTAGGGTTTAGGGTATGGGGTTTAGGGTTTAGGGTTAGGGCTGAGGGAAACTGTTGTGATCCTCGCATTGCCGAAGTGCCATGACACGACAAACTCTGCAACAGGGACACCAATGTAATGTATCAACTGCATGACCATCCATATACTCACTTTCATCGACAACCCCCGCTGATGACGAAGAGCAACTACTCTGACAGCTCCCGCTCCTACCACTGGACCTCTGCTCTGGGTCTAGGGTGTAGGGTTTAGGGTTCAGGGTTTAGAACGCCCCATAACCCCACACCGCACACAAAACGCAGGGACGATGGAGGCACCACGTTCGCGGACTCCGCATGCATCAAACCTCTCGGCTGCAGATCCCAGAGGCGAGCGGTCAAGCAGGCGCTTCAGGAAAAGGTATAGGGTGAAAGGTGTAGAACCTGTATGGTCAAGGGTTCGGGATCTGGGCTATCTCAAATAATATACTAGATGATGCTATATAATAGCGTCTAAGTAAAGAACACTACATATATGCTTTCATAGAGTATGTCTGTAACAAGTTCGAGTTCCAGAGGCACTGACCAGCGCTTCTGAGACGATTTCCCTACCGTATTAGAGTCATTGTGCAGTAGAAGTTGGCCGTCACAGGATTCCGGGTTTAGGGTTCAGGGTTTTAGGGTTTAGGGTTTAGGGTTTAGGGTTTAGGGTCGCAAGTTTAGTAAGATTTAGGGTTTCGGGTTCAGGATGTAACGTTTAGGCGTTTAGGGTTTACCAGGGTCTGTTTTGGTTTCGGGTTAGGGACGGGCCTATGCAAGGCTGAATGACCTGTCGCTGCAAATTCACTCCATTTCAGCTGAAAGTTGTGCCTTCTCAATCTATGCATACCTACCTACCTACCTACCTACCTACCTACCTATCTACCTACCTACATACATACATGCATGCATGCATGCCTAAGTTCGTAAGCTTTGAAGTTACATTTCCTGCATTTCAGGTTCATGGCTTGATATATAGGAACCTACATACGTCCAAGCAATATTCTTAGGGTTCCTTCTTACAGCTCTACTATAAGATATCCCAAAGCAACTGTACTAACTCTACTATAATATATCCCCAAACCCTACGAGCATTCCAAATATTGAGGCCCCGATTTCATTCCTCTCGTTTAGGTGGCAACGGGTTCTGAGCCCTGACTGCAAGATTTAAAGAGCTAAGTCCCTCCAGGGGCTATTGCTTCTGCCCTTACTTGCCTCAGTTGGCAGCTTCGCGTTCATGGGTTTGAAGCTTTAGGGCTTATGGCTTAGGGTTTAGGGTCTAGGGTTTAGGGCTGAACGAGAAAATAATCAAAAATAGCTTCCTGCACTACTGTGGGCCCTCTTTCCCGTAACCACCATTTCAGAACATGAGCTTGGCGGGAGGAGCCAAAAACTTGCACAATTAAGGAGAATGAAGTTACAGGACCCCCAAGACACCTCATGTAACCTCCAAACCCTGAACCCTTCACGCTCCATCCCAGACCCTGCACCCTTAACCCTAAACCCTACAACCTGAGCCCCAAAGCTCCAATATTTCCCGGTAACCCCCCTGTCGAACTCTTAAAATAATCCTAAACCCCTAAACCCCTAAACCCTAAACCCTAAACCCTAAACCCCTAAACCCCTAAACCCTAAACCCTAAACCCCTAAACCTTAAACCCTAAACCCTAAACCCTAAACCCATTAAGTATAGGCCGATTGAGTCCGATGCTTTGTCTGCTGCGAGGATGCCCCGTCGGATGAGCGCTCCGGTTCACCTGCGTACTCGTTTAAGGGGCTTACGGGTTTAGGGTTTAGGGTTTAGGGTTTAGGGTTTAGGGTTTATGGTCTGTTGGGTTTAAGGTTTAGGGAGGTGTGTGTAGGGTTTCATGATTCATGAGGTCAGCCACTAAACCCCTAAATGTTGAAAGCCCTGAGCCATTTTCTTCCGATTTTGACCTTCTATCTAAGCCCACAGTCCGCTAACAAAGCATAATGCCCTTACACAACGTTTTCTAAATGTTACGGCCACCATGTGAGATCCCGTTTCTTTCCGAATGCCTCGTGGAGGGATCGGAGCATCCAATGGTGCAGATCGCTCGCAACCTGCGAGGGAGGCCGGGTGCCCAGGGTCTTGGGGTGAGGGTTTAGGGTTCAGGGTTCAGGCTTTAGGGTTTAGGGTTTAGGGTTTGGGGCTTAGGGTTAAAGTTTAGGGTGTAGGGCTGACGGGGTTTAGGATTTTCGGTTGTTGGGTTTTGTGCTGCGGGTTTACAGGGTTAGGGCTTGTGGTATTATAAGGGCTCAGGCTTTAGGGTGCAGGGTTCGGTGGCGGATTTGGCCCGATACCTTTGAGGGCCCCCTCAAGGCTTTCTTGAAGGGCTCCTTGAAGTGTGGCTTTGAAGAGTTCCTTTCAGGGGTTCTACAGGGCTACTCGACGGATCCTTTAAGGGCCTAGAGGACTTTAGAGTCTGGTGGGGTTTGGGGTTTGGGGTTTAGGGTTTAGGGTTTAGGGTTTTGGGTTAAGGGTGGTTGAGGTTCGGGGTTTAGGGCTTTAGGGTTTAGGGTTTAGGGTTTAGGGTTCAGGGGTCCGCGGCCAGGGGCTGGGTTCAGGGTGCAGGGCTTAGCGATTTCGATGCTTGGTTTCAATGCCTTGGGGCCCTGCGACCGGGCCTGGAGGTTTCCCATAGTCGTGTCCTTCTTCTGTACCGTCTCCTTGTTTCGGACAACATTGCTTCTTCCAGCTCTCTCCTGCTCGTTGTCCTTCTTGCGCTTCTTCTTCTTGACAGCCCGATCTGCAGCACCACCATTTGCTGTAGCGCAACCGCCTGTCCGGGAGCTGCTCCAGTTCCAGGAGCCTTGCCAGTCCCATGACGACCACGTCATCGTAGTTGTTGTGCTAGTATCCCTTTGCTGGCGTGCGATTTGCTGAGCTGCGGTCGATGATATAAATCCTGCATTACCCAGAATCAGGAATATACCATAATTCCCATAGTTTAGGGTCCTTAAGGTAATGCAGGATCTATATCATCAACAGTATATCACTATGCCAGACTATGGAAGAGCGGCAGTCCAAGCCACGGTACCCCAAGAACCCGTACATGAGCTCCGGGGCTTCCAAAGCGCAAACCCACAGCACGATGTAGGTTAGGGTTTAGGGTTTAGGGTCTAGGGTTTAGGGTTCAGGGTTTAGGATTTCGGGAGGCAGCAGAAGACACCGCAGCTGACGAATGGCTCTGTACTTGGACACCTCGAAAGCGTGGCAGAAGCACCGTTTTGAACCAAACCCCAAACCCTAAACCCTGAACCCAAAGCCCTGCACTCTAACGGCCCCAGCAATCTCAACCCTAACCTAGAGCCTAAGCGCAACTCAGACACCGAACTCTCAAGTCTAAACCCTAAACCCTAAACCCCGAGACCCGAAACCCAAAAGGCCTCCTCAGAGCGCGCTGCACGGGACTCTGCTTGCTTCAGCTGCGCCTGACTCTGGGTTTAGATCTTCGGGCTCAGAAACTCTACACCCTGAACCCTAAACCCTAAATCGTAGTTTCGGGCTTAGGGTTTAAAGTTTCGGGCTCAGGGTTTAGAATTTCGGGTTAGGGCTTCAGGCTCGGGGGTCAGCACTTAAAAAGATGGAAGTGTTGAGCTCCGGTCCCAAAAGCCGTGCATCTCAAGCCCCTTAGGTTGAGGGCGTAATTCTGATGGAGACCATAAAATGTTCAACCCTCCCTCAACCACTCAACCCTAAACCTAAAGCCTAAACCCTAAAACAAAAAAACCCAAGCCCTAAAATCCTGAATCCTCTGCCTGCACCCTAAAACCCTAAACCCCTAAACCCTGAACATGAACCCTCTCAATGATGGGTCTAGACGCGAACAGGCCTCCATCTGCGTGGCGCGCTCTTCGTGGGAGCCGACATGCACCTTTTGAAGACGAAGCTCCTGCAGCTAATACATGGGCCTTAAAAATTTGAATAGGGTTTGGGGGTATATTGTACTAAATTATGATAAGGAACCCCCCAAAATGGTATAGGTAATTATTTGGGC